AGGAAGAAGAAGAAGCTGAGCGTAAACGAAAAGAAGAAGAGGAAGCAAAGGCTGCTGCTGCTGCCGCTGCCGAAGCCGAATGAAAGAGAAAGGAAGATGAAGAAGCTGAGCGTAGACGAAAAGAAGAAGAAGCCGAAAGAAAGAGAAAAGAAGAAGAAGCTGAGCGTAAACGAAAGGAAGAAGAAGCAAAGGCTGCTGCTGCCGCCGCTGCCGCTGCTGCCGCTGCTGCCGAAGCTGAGCGAAAGAGAAAAGAAGAGGAAGAAGCTGAGCGTAGACGAAAAGAAGAAGAAGCCGAAAGAAAGAGAAAAGAAGAAGAAGCTGAGCGTAGACGAAAAGAAGAAGAGGAAGCAAAGGCTGCTGCCGCTGCCGCTGCCGCTGCTGCTGAAGCTGAGCGAAAGAGAAAAGAAGAAGAAGAAGCCGAAAGAAAGAGAAAAGAAGAAGAAGAAGCTGAGCAAAAGCGAAAGGAGGAAGAAGCAAAGGCTGCTGCTGCTGCCGCCGCTGCTGCCGCCGCAGCTGCTGAAGCTGAGCGAAAACGAAAGGAAGAGGAAGAAGCAGAAAGAAAGCAAAAGGAAGAAGAAGAAGCTGAGCGTAGACGAAAAGAAGAAGAGGAAGCAAAGGCTGCTGCCGCCGCCGCTGCCGCTGCTGCTGAAGCTGAGCGTAGACGAAAAGAAGAAGAAGAAGCTGAGCGTAAACGAAAAGAAGAGGAGGAAGAAGCTGAACGTAAACGAAAGGAGGAAGAAGCTGAGGCTGCTGCTGAAGAAGAAAAGAAGCGAAAAGAAGAAGAAGCTGAGCAAAAGCGAAAGGGGGAAGAAGCTGCCGCTGCCGCTGCCGCTGCCGCCGCTGCTGAAGCTGAGCGAAAGAGAAAAGAAGAAGAAGAAGCTGAGCGAAAGAGAAAAGAAGAAGAAGAAGCTGAGCGTAGACGAAAAGAGGAGGAAGAAGCTGAGCGAAAGAGAAAAGAAGAGGAAGAAGCTGAGCAAAAGCGAAAGGAGGAAGAAGCAAAGGCTGCTGCTGCTGCCGCCGCAGCCGCTGCCGCTGCCGCTGCTGAAGCTGAGCGAAAGAGAAAAGAAGAAGAAGAAGCTGAGCGTAAACGAAAAGAAGAAGAGGAAGAAGCTGAGCGTAAACGAAAAGAAGAAGAGGAAGAAGCTGAGCGTAAACGAAAAGAAGAAGAAGCTGAGCAAAAGCGAAAGGAGGAAGAAGCAAAGGCTGCTGCTGCCGCCGCCGCTGCCGCTGCCGCTGCCGCTGCCGCTGCCGCTGCTGAAGCTGCTGCTGAAGCTGAGCGAAAGAGAAAAGAAGAAGAAGAAGCACGAAGAAAGAGAAAAGAAGAAGAAGAAGCACGAAGAAAGAGAAAAGAGGAAAGAAAGAAGCGCAAAGAGGCCGAAGCTGCTGCTGCTGCCGCCGCTGCTGCCGCTGCCGCTGCTGAAGCCGAAGCTGAGCGAAAGAGACAAGAAGAAGAGGAAGAGAAGAGAAAGAAGAGAAAAGAAGAGAGAAAGAAGCGTAAAGAAGCTGAGGCTGCCGCTGCTGCTGAAGCTGCCGCTGCCGCTGCTGAAGCTGCTGCAATTGAAGCTGCTTCGAGTAATAATATATTATTATTAAAGTAATGTTTAGAACTTGTGTTTTTATGTTCGGGTTGTGGTCGAGCATTCAATGAAGAAGATGGTTATGCTCATTTGGTTGAATGTCCAAACACAACGGGAACGGGAGCTCAATTAATTCGAATCGACGAAATGGAAGAACCGAAAAAGAAGAAAGAAGAAGAAGAAGAGAAAAAAGCAAAGGCTGCTGCTGCCGCCGAAGCTGCCGCTGCCGCTGCTGAAGCTGCTGCAATTGAAGCTGCTTCGAGTAATAATATAATTTATTAAAGTAATGTTTAGAACTTGTGTTTTTGTGTTCGGGTTGTGGTCGAGCATTCAATGAAGAAGATGGTTATGCTCACTTGGTTGAATGTCCAAACACGACGGGAACGGGAGCTCAATTAATTCGAATCGACGAAATGGAAGAACCAAAAAAGAAGAAAGAGAAAGAAGAAGAGAAGAAAGAGAAAGAAGCTGCTGCTGCTGCTGCTGCTGCTGCTGCCGCTGCTGCTACTGTTGTTGTGGCTGAAGAGATTTCTAAGAAGGATGCCAAAGAAAAGACAAAACAAGAAGAAGAAGAAGAAGCACGAAGAAAGAGAAAAGAGGAAAGAAAGAAGCGCAAAGAGGCCGAAGCTGCTGCCGCTGCTGCCGCTGCTGCCGCTGCTGCCGCTGCTGCCGCTGCTGCCGCTGCTGCCGCTGCTGCCGCTGCTGCCGCCGCTGCCGCTGCTGAAGCCGAAGCTGAGCGAAAGAGACAAGAAGAAGAGGAAGAGAAGAGAAAGAAGAGAAAAGAAGAGAGAAAGAAGCGTAAAGAAGCTGAGGCTGCTGCCGCCGCCGAAGCTGCCGCTGCCGCTGCTGAAGCTGCTGCAATTGAAGCTGCTTCGAGTAATAATATATTATTATTAAAGTAATGTTTAGAACTTGTGTTTTTGTGTTCGGGTTGTGGTCGAGCATTCAATGAAGAAGATGGTTATGCTCATTTGGTTGAATGTCCAAACACGACGGGAACGGGAGCTCAACTAATTCGAATCGACGAAATGGACGAACCGAAAAAGAAGAAAGAAGAAGAAGAAGAGAAGAAAGAGGAAGAAGAGAAGCCTCGCAAGAAAGAAGAACCGATCGAAGAGCCCAAGAAGGAACAGCCTCCAAAAGAAATCACCTACGAGCCAAAGGGTACTCGTTCTTTCTCTCCTTCATCCCCAGCCAGCTATCGCTGCAACGTCTGCGGTTCCCTGCTTCTCGGCAGCGACTGTCCCGACCACGCTCTCTCCTGTCCCACGCCCAAGCGATTCCGCGGCGATCGCTTCATCCGCCTCGAAGAAGAAGTCGTCATCGCCGTCACTCCTGCCGTCGAGACCCCCGAAGCAGCCGAGCCGTTCAATCTGGACGACGCTTTCGATGTGGGCGGCGAGGCCCTCGCTCCCATCTCTCTCGATTTGGCCGTGAATCCCTTCGAAGAGGACGAGACGCCTCTCACGCCCCCGAAAGACGAGTCGCCGTCGACTCCGATGAAGGAGGAGCCCGCGTCGAAGTCGGTCAATCCGTTCGGCACGGAGGAAGCCATCGTGATGCCCGAGGCCGAGCAGAAGCCCGTTCTCTCGCTCAACAAGTCGATGAATCCCTTCGACGCTATTTCCAGCGACGACGACGAAAGTACCGGCAATCCTTTCGACGCTCCGCTGAAGCCCGTTAACATTCCTGTCAAGTCCTCCAATCCCTTCGACGCCATGTCCGATGAGGAGGAAGCGGACGGTAAAAACCCGTTCGCGGAGAAGCCCAAGTCCTCCAACCCCTTCGACGCCTCGTCCGACGAAGAGGACGCAGAGGACGGTAAAAACCCGTTCGATGCGCCGACCCAAAAGCAGTCGAAGCCCAAATCGTCCAATCCGTTCGATGCAGTTTCCGACGACGAAGACGAAGAAAATGGCGGCAATCCGTTCGACGCCGCGCCCAAATCGTCCAATCCGTTCGACGCCGTGTCGGATGAGGATGAGGAGGAGGGTAAAAACCCGTTCGATACGCCGTCGTCGATGCCGGTGGTCGTGCTGGCGTCGTCGAATCCCTTCGATGCGCCCGACGCGCTGGTGGAGAAGGAAGTGGCCGTCACGCCGCTGGTGCTGCAGAAGGAGCCGACGGTCAATCCGTTCGCTGAGGAGGAGGCGAACGCACAGGAAGAGGAGGAAGAAGAGGAGGAGACGGAGGAGGAGAAGGCGAGAAGGGAAGCGGAGCTCGCGCGACAGAGAGAAGAGGAGCTGCAGAGACAGGAGCTGCTTCGAAAGGAGGAGGAGAGGCGCCGAGCGGAGCAGGAAGCGGCGGAGAGGGCGCGGAGGGAGCAGGAGTTGCAGCAGCGTCGTGTGTACGAGCAGCAGTCGATTCGTAGAAGTGAGGATTGCGATTGATGGGTAGAGAATATTCTGAGTAGCGAGAGCATTCAAGTGGGTATTTCGTGTATTAAATTCTGCTCGAACGGGTCGTGGCACAACACGGTGGTGAAGCTGGTGGAGGAGAATGGCGCGCATGAGGTAGGAAGCGAGGAGAGCGAGCGAGTCGTAGATCAAATGGAGTCGAAAGAAGAGCATGTTCCATGGAATTACGGGTTCGTTACCGCTGCAGGAAGTGAGCAACGTCGAGGAAGACGGCTCTGATCCGCTGATTGTGACGCTCTTGGCGAGCAAACGTGAGCTAAAGCTGCAGTTTTTGGACGAAGCGATCAAAGGTCAGTTCGTCGCTACGGTTCGAAGGTATTGTAATTTAAGCTGGGCTGTTTGTCACAAACACTCTCTCACCCAAAAACGATTTGCTGCGGAATCAAACAGGGACCTTCCTTCAGTCCCACAAGCAAGGGCAGTTCGCCTTGGAACGCTGCTGCACACAACGAAAACGTGCTTCGAGTCGTGCCGATCACTTTCTGGCACCGAGCCAACATCAACATTTCCACAAACGCATCCTTCATTCCATCGTTATCTCGCTTCTTCCCCGTTACTTCCATCGTATGGATCGCCTTTCGATTATTCGACGCGACCTGCAGCTTCGGATGGTACGACATAATCTTCTTCTTCGCTCGTGTTGAATCCGAAGTCAAAACCAACGCGATCTGCTTGCTTCTGTTCGCCCGACCCGATTCAATGCCACTCAAACAATGACTAAACGTGGGGAGTCGCCCAGCTCGAATAAACGTAGACTGATCTCTGAAATCGGAGAGCGGATTGCCGCATCGAATGTGCATTCCCACGAGATAATCATTCGAAAAAGGAGCCAGAACCGCGTTCACTTCGTCTAAAACGTTTTGGTGCGGGACGACATACGTTCGAAAGACTTTGGAAAGGAGGAAAAAGGCCTGAATATCGAGATTTCCGTGACTTGGGTCGACGAGATGGAGCTCTCGAAGACGTTGGTAGTTTTCAGGGTTGCGAAGAATGGCGTAAAAGAGCGGACAATTGGTGGAAAGAATGAGATCGGAGTTTTTGTAAAGTTGGTTTAAGGGTTTGCGGATCATCCGGTTGGCAAGTTCGGACTTATTGTAGAAGCACTTGTTGTATTGCACGACGTTATCCATTCGGCTGGGACCCATTTCTACGATGAACAAACAAAAGAGAATAAAAAACGTTCATAGGGAACCGAGTGATTCCAGTAATCGTAAAAGTCGAATACTTTGTGGAATTTATAGTTATTCACGCCTATTTCGCACTTTCCTCGCTCATCCTACCCACAAGGCGACGATTGCTAATCGCACTGATAACGAACGCACTCACCAAGCCGTAGAGATTGTTGCCAAAACCACTTTGAGAAGGACGAAAGTAAAGCGTTCCGCGGTATTTGTGCGGCTCCGGAATTCGAGAGGGCTGATTCTGCTTCGTGGGCTTCGGGACAGTACGATGCAAGACCAAACGAACTTCCTCTTGCTCTTGAACCTTTTCTGTAATCAACGATTGATTTCGACGAAACCCCTCAGAATTGTGTAGATTCGTATCAGGAATTGTACTAGCCTGACTGGTCACGCTCTTCATTGAAGACTTGGCACCGTTGACTTGGGAAATCGTAGAGTCTACACTTCTTGTTGGCAATAGATTGAGAGGCTCAGTCGACTCCCTTTGGATTGAATGAATAACAGTATTTTGATCGCTTTGGGTCACACCACTAAAATAAGGCTTCTCTGTTGTACCAATGTATCTATTGCGTTGCACACGGAATTTACTGGTTTGATGTACATCACATATTCCATTTCCACAATCACTGAAATCATTTGACAATAAAAAATCATTCACATTCAAAACAAGAAATTTTCTTTCTGTCTGCGAGTATTGGTGCAGTTTGAATGCTACAATGATGAAAATACAAAAAACTCCCACCTAACCAATTATATACCAGCGCAATGACAAAGAGAAATACACAGAGACCCTTTGTCATAGGCTTAGAACAAAAATGTTGGAGAATGAAAAAGCGATCAACAAAAAGGAAATGCCCCTGCCGTGATTCGAACACGGGTTATCACGGCCACAACGTGATGTACTAACCAACTATACTACAGTGGCACTTGTTTTGTTCTTCTTTAGATGGTTAATAAATGTCAGAATGGAGGCTTCAAGCGTACTTTTCCAAGCGATTTCCTATTTGTTCAAGTTTCCAAAAGGTTCAATGTAATAAGCTCATCGCAAAGGTTTAATTTTTCCCCAAAAGATTCATACAACAAACACATCATAAAGGACATCATCCACTGTTCTCTTCCTGCGCGCTCAAATCCAAAACTCTCATGCAGAGATTAACCTTTTTCTCCAGCCCCTCCAGCGTTTTCTACCCTGAACCCTTCCCTCGGTTCCTACCTGCATCGCCGCCTGGTTCTTCGCAATCAATTCCAGCAATCCGTTCATCCTGCTGATTTCCTCCACCAGCCTCGCCGTTCCGCTCTCCCTCCTCCCGGACTTCCCAAACAGCGGCTTTCTCGCCTGTCCCTCCTTCCCTGGCCCAATCAACGGCGCCGGCGTCTTCTGCAGAGGTTGCATCATCGATTCCCCATTTCCCCCTTTCCCTGCGTTCCCCGCCGCCTCCGCCTGCGCCGGCTGCGGCGACAGCACCGCGTTCGTGAACATGGACTTCTACACTGGACCCGGTCCGCAATCGCAACTGCATGCGCTGTCTCCTGCAGAATCACATCGTGCACGCTGTACGTCCGCGTCCGCGTCCCCTCCTTCCGCTCCTCCGCGCCCTCCACGGCAGATCCCGCTCCCGGATCCGTCGTGGAGGCGATCCGTTCGAACATCGACATGCTGCGCACGCGGCGATCGCTCTCCGGCGGCAGCGGCGAATTCAGCCGGAACGGCGCCATCTGCGGCCTTTCGGCGCTCTGCGAGGCGCGTTTGAAGTAGGTGGGCGTTTCGTTTGGAGGTTCGATGGAATCTTCGGGAGGGAAATCGTCGGGAGCGCCCTCGTTGAGCGAGAAAGGCGAGAGAACGACGCTCTGGAGAGGCGAACGCGATCGGGAACGCGGCTGCGGCTGCGGCTGGCCGGCGAGGTTCTTTTTGTCGCTGATGGTGCGCATGTGGCGCGGGAAAATGGGGAAGAAGGGGGATTTGGAGTCGGATTCGATGAGATCTTCGATGTAGTCGCGGCCGCAGGAGACGCGGGAGAACAATGTGGTGATGGGAGTGTTGTTGAAGAGCTCGAAATGGTGCAGGCGGTTGTAGAGGAAGTAGACGATGTCGCGACGGTTTTCTTTGTCGCGCATGATGGCGGGGTTGTACGCTAGAGTTAATGATTGGAGAGACTAGGGAGTGAGGGGAGAGGGGCGTTCGAACGGAGAGAGAAAGCAGGTCCTGGAAGGATTCGTACGTGATTTTGTTGTGGGACAGACACAACGTTTGCAGATTACGTAACTTGTAGAGATCCTAGGAATGAGGGAGAAAACAGACAACGACGCGAGGAAACGAGGAGATAGAGTTATAATCGAGAACTAGCTCCTCAAGTAGAAACAAACTAGTGATAGGACGGATATCCGAAATCTGGTTATGCGCAAGATTTAGATACTTGAGCTGCTTCAGCGGCTTTATTGGAGTCAGATCCTTGATACAATGATTCGCAACTGTTAAACGCTCCAAACCTTGAGTGAATTTCCTTATAAAATTGTACTGCTTAGCAGACCCACATCACCTAAACCAATATATTGAACTGTCAGAGTATCGGAACTAAGGTACGTCAGATCCACTTCCAAAAAGTCATCAAACTCGTTTTCGTCACAGCTACAAAGTCACACAAAGGAGTATAAGCTTACCAAAGAAGACGCGCAAGTTCCTCCTTTGTTAATGTGTCATCATTATCCTACATAGTAGTACTCCCCATCAGGCAATATACCGGAACAGATACTTGCAAATTCATTTCTAAGATAAGATTGAAATGTAGGAAAAGTTGTTATTGATGATTATAATATACAATCAAAGGAACACAACCCGACTTGCCAACTAACTAATTTGGTAGGTAGTAGATAGGTAGGTCAGAGGGAATTCACCATGCACACTCCGCTCGTTTCGAATGATCACAGATTTCTTCTATATCTCTTTTCTGTTGTTCATTTAGTTATATACCATGCAAGTAGAAGAGGTGTCAATGGAAGTGTCGATGTCTGTCCATGAAGGGTGTCAGGCTTGGAAGCTCAGTTCGATTCTTGAAAAGAACTTAACGAATGATGGAGTGTATGAATTTTTTGAAATCCAGACAAAAGCAATTCCCCAAATTCTAGATTGTTGAGTTGTGGTCTTTCTGTCATTTTTATAGGTGATCGCTGTGGAATCGCACGAGATATTTCTATCTGTGCTCCCACTGGAAGTGGAAAGACTCTCGTATTGACTTTACCTTGTTACTGCTTATTTCCAGGTTTACGTTATTCCTTTAGTTCAATCGCTACTGGGAAGGATTATTCCACGAATCCGCGCATTGATTATTGTTCCCAGTCGGGACTTGGCGTTGCAAGTGAAGTCCGTGTTTGATATTTATACGGATGGTACGGATATTCGCGTTGCTGCTCTTTGCGGTGGAATTAGTGAAAGCTATAACGACCTGACTTACTACGACGATTACTCTTGGTTCCGTATGTTTTTTCTATTTATTTACAACCAGATACGGAAAACAACGAAGACGACGTCATTCAAAGTTGCGAGCAGGTCGACATCATCATCACCACCCCCGGAAAACTTGTGGAGCACATCAAAAACAATCCGAATTTTGACATCCAAGACCTCCAATACCTAGTCGTCGATGAGGCCGACAAGCTCTTGCTCCAATCCTACGACAACTGGATCCAAGTGGTAGAAATCAACGATCCCCGCGATTCATAGCTCTACAGTCGTCTCAACGAAACTCCCACGTCGTCTTTTGTGAACGGCGACGGTTACGCGATTCGTTCGAGTTCGAATCGAACTTCGCAGGAAAACGGTTCTCTGCGTGTGATCCGCGGAATCCGCAAGATTCTGCTCAGCGCCACATTGAATAGCGATACGAATATCAACATTGAGAAGCTTCGTTTGAATAATCTGCTGGTCTACACCGTGAAAAACGTTACGAAGGAGAGTGAGGATGAAGCGATCTTGCGAAATAGACGTGTATTTGGTGCCCAAACAGCTCTCCGAGTATTATTATCTCACCGACACGCTGCATAAACCGCTTACATTCTTGCGTCTTGTGGAGTATTGGAAGCGGCTGGGCCGAAAAGTGCTCGCGTTTTGTAACAGCATCGATATGGTGCATCGGTAGGAGCGACAAATCGCTGCGAAATAGACTGTTTTTGCTCGTTTCGATCGTGTTCGCGGAGGACCAGAAGACGCAGCGCTTCGTGGAGGAGTATTCTTCGCAAATCCGAGCGCAAAAGCGCGAGAAAACGATGCGGATGTTCCAAGAAGGATCGATCTGGCTGCTCATCAGCTCCGATACGATCGCACGCGGTGTGGATATTCCGGACATCGATGTAGTGGTGAACTACGATCTTCCGTTCTATACGGAGTCGTACATTCATCGAGCGGGTCGAACAGCGCGTGCTAGTGAGTGCAGCGAGCGACTGTGATGTGTAGTGAAGGAGGGAGAAGTTGTGTCGCTGGTGAAGCCAGAGCAAGAGGGATTTTTCTCGGCGATTACGCAGAAAATCCAGGGGAGTCGGCCGATGAAATTGGAGGAAGAAGAGGACGGAGTGGGGCTGCAAGAGCGATATATTGAGGCGTTGGGTGAAATGAAGACGATTATGACGAAGAAGAAGACGAAGAAAGAGCGTGCTTAGATGATAAGGGAAGTGTTTGTTGGAAATTGAACGTTTTGAGGTTGGTACTGAAGATTTTTGAATCGAGGTGATTTCGGTTTGAGAGGGATGTGCTGCCTTTGTGCAAAATGGTTTTAATAGATGGGAGAGCCGTATCTTAAATCGTAATATTAACCATGTTTGAGGCAAGCGGATGGAAATCAATTTGCACGAGAGTGAGAGGTTGATTACTTATGGAAAATTGAATGATTAGCGAGAACGATAAGGATTAAATATTCCAAGAGACCCAAAGTCGGGTAAATTAGTGATTAAATAAATTTGGTACAACAACATGCTGGTGGAAATCACTTTCAAAATGAAAAAACACAAGTCTGACCGAGTTTCAAACGAAATAGAGACAATTTGAGAGTTTCAAATCGAATACTTCTGCACTTTGGATAATTTGTATTCGCTGAATCGAATGAATTCTATATTAGTAATATTCCAAGATATTGGGTCAATGAAGTAACACAGAATGATGGATGAGAAGTGAAATGGAAAGATGGTATGGAAAAGATCGTGTGATAAGTGGTACCTATGCTCACTCTATCTCATTAATATTACAATTCTAATGCTTGTTTCAATGTAATTTGCACTGTATTATCAATATAAAAGAAAGTCAGCCTTCATTTATTAATCTTGAAATAAATTCTTTGTCGCATTACTTCATAGATGGTATTATTTAATGATACTATGATTCCGATTTTCTATTTTTCTTATCATCCACTTTTTCGCTACAATATCATCCATTGTACTAAATATGGATTATCATTCAGCTGATAAAGAATACAAACATGAACTGGAGATCAATACAATGAAATCATTTATCAAATAGAAGTGATGATTTATCCATTCTACTTTCTATCGCAATAGTCTATATAGTGTCAATCAAACTATTCCAATCGTATTTGCTTTATTGTGTTCGAGTGTTATAAAAACAAATTACACCATTTGATTATTAACTATATTATTATTACCAATATATCTATTATGAACATTATAATACAGCCATTTGAACAATAGAAAGTGAGGTCATGAAAATGCGAAATACATTATAATCAAAGCTGAAAATACTTGAAAATGTCATAGAGTTAATTTGATATATGGAAATGAAGTGCAAATAAAGAAAACAGAAAGGTTTGAGAAAGTGAGATTGTATTATTATTATCTAGTTTTTAATACACCAACTATTCAATTCAGTTCCACACAAAATAATAATCTATGGAGTGACTACTATCGAGAAATAATGAAACAGATCTTGTTTCCAAAAATACCGTTTTACCATATTTCTTCATTTCCATGCAAAACATTGTTGATTTTGTCAATTCTGCTATTAATAACTATCATATTGATAGTTCCATTATTCAAAGTGTGCAGGGATGTTTGGGTAAAGAATGGAAACCAAATGGCTGGATTTCACTCATATTGAGTAACAGAGAATTTGTAGTATTGCAATTCAATAATGGAATATTCATGAATGAAGGATTTGTGGTCAATGAGCAGAAAGTGTTGAAAGTGATTGGAAATAATCAAATTGGTGCTATTTCATATAATGAAGAATTCTTGGTAGAAGGAATCGTGGATTTGGATCATGGAAGTCGATTTGAAGGCTCGATATTGACAGAAAAAGAAAACGAAAACGAAGGTAAAATTGGAATTCCATTTGGATATGGTGAAATGTATGATGATGATGGAATATTGTTGTACAAGGGCATAATGATCGATTGGAAACGATTTGGATATGGAACGAGTTATCATAATAATGGTTTGATAGAATATGAAGGATATTGGTGTGATGATAATCGATTTGGAATTGGAATTGTGTATGATCGATATGGTAAATTAGTGAATGAATGTGAATGGTGCAATGGAATTGAATGTGATATTGATTATGAAGGAGATGGCTCAGAACCAATGAATATGGGAATGAAACATCTGAAACTGAGTGATAATTGTGTATTGGTTGATTGGGATGTTTCATTGTTATACAATTTGGAATCAATCGAAATCGGCAATGAATGTTTTGGATCAGTGCAAACATTCCAAATCGATGGATTGAATTGATTGAAAACTATCAAAATCGGCAAGAACTCATTTACTCAGGAAAAGAATGGATTGAGAGATGATGAATCGAAATCATTCCACATATTGAATTGTGAATCATTGGAATCGATTCAAATTGGTGAATATAGTTTCAGTGATTATGCTGGCGACTTTGAATTGAAGAATCTACCACAACTACAATCCATTCAAATTGGTACAATTGAAAGTAAATCATGGAATTTTTGTTATAGTTCATTTGTGATTCGAGGTATTGATATGATATTGAATATTTGAATAATGCCTAGATCTTCCAAATCTACAATCCATTACATTAGGTAATCGTGCATTCTTTAGCTCCTTCTCAACAATAATTGAAAGTATTGAATGAATTCGAATGAAATGATTGATGTAGATCTTCCATCATTACAATCCATTCAACTCGGTGAATGTGCACTTCAAGGAAGAGATGATGATTTAAGTTTATTGACACTTCGAAGTAATAATGAATTGATTGGTTATGATTTGCTTTGTAGATCTTCCAAATCTAACATCAATAACGTCTGAATATTATAGTTTCTATTCTCCTCGTGTAGTGACATTGGAAAGTATTTCTGAATATTGAATATTGATAGTATTTAGATATTCCAAATCTTCAAAATGTCAAGCTACCTCGTTCATTCGAGTGTGTTCGATCGAAATCAATTTCAAGTATGGTTTAATTGATTTGATTTGATTCATAGATGTTTCTTCCATTCTCGCTGATCTTGTCGAAATCAAGCAGTGATTTCATCTTTGGATCCACACATTTTATTTCATTCCATTCAATGATTAATGAATACTCAATACTCACTTTGTTTGCTTGTTTTCAATCCCTCATCATCATTCCTTGGTCATTGTATTAGCATCCTGTCATCGATTGACTTTTTTCCATAATCGCAACACAGATTAGTGTTGCTAGTGTATTCCAATCCTTCGCGTAACCGATGTTATGAATGAAGATAAAGAGTTGGTGAAAAATAGTAGTGCCAAACTGAGACGATCGAGTATTGTTCATTGTTCCAAATCGAAATGTGTCGTACTCGACAACTCTCTATATTGTTAACGATTAAATAGAGACTATTAAGTGTGGAAATTGGATTGTACAGAATAATCACACGAAATAGTATTTTTTGGACAAGTATTTAGAGAGTAAAATGATTACAAATGGAATTCGTTGTTTCGATCCGATTTGTGTATATTGAGTGACTTTATAATAATACAGTCGGGAAAATGTTGTTGCAAACAATAGAGATCCATAGGAGTTAAGATTCGAAACAAACTGTTCAACTGTATGGTGTTACTAATGTGATCAACGTGATTGACAGATAGAGAGAATAGTAAAAAGAATAATTGAATGGGACTGTGTTATGGCAACTCCAATGATAATAAGGATAGGGAATTTTCTTCAATTACTTTTGCATTGGATTCTAACTTTTTTCACAGGAGCTATCCACAGTCCATCTGTTATCATATTTTTGTAATCACTAAAACGTTCTTTTTCAGAATATTGTTGCGAGCGAAGATGTTTGTTGTATGTTGTTTCACTTCCGATAGAATAGAAATACAGACAAGGATATTACCATTCTTTCTTTTCATGGGTGTGTCCTCATCCAGTTTGTTCAGTATTTTTGATAAATCATCTGTCCTTTTACGATTCTCAAATTATCTAATTAATAGGAACCATTTTCACTGAATAGATCAACTACCAATTGTCGTTTTTCGAAATCACAAACTACATGCTATTTTCTTTCTGTTGTCTCATTATGATATAAACAGTTTAACAAATGACTCTACTGTAAAAATAAACATTAGCAGCTGTTTAATACAACAAAACATACAAGCGTTATCATCAACGCAACTTGATTTCTATGGTTATGCTATGTTTATGTTATTTGTATATCATACGAATTGCAGTGTCGCCATTTCCTTTTTTCACTATCCAGTAACTGCAAATCAACTGGAATCTTTATTATGCTTGCTTGTCGTTGGATGATTGTAAAATACATTTTCATTTGTTTTTGTTCATAAAGAATAGGACTATTTTCATCATTATTATGTCAGACAATGAACCATAGTTTCAAACCACAACAAATAGAATTCTGCAAACGAGTTTGTCGGGTGGGGGATGGAACGCATAATGATTTGTTTTCCAAGTGCCATTACAATTGTGTAAAATAACCTAATATTAAGGCCGTAATGTTATTCCTAGATGATTAGTCAGTTTTTCTATATGAATGCTTTCACTCACATCCCTCCATCATTTCTTTATCAACCTCTTCCTTCAACATACAAACTAACCATTTCACATATTCCTTATTCCTATCTATTTCTATTCATAGACAGTATTATGCTATATTCGTCATCCATGATTTTATTTCCCTTGAATCTGTGAATACAACTCTCTATTGTGGACTGTAGCTACAATTCAAAAAGAAATGGGTATATCAAACACATCTAACCTCAGAATAATAACATTTAGTGTGTAGCGAATAGAAAAGAGTGTAAAAGTCCATCCATTCATTCGAATATCTATTATCAGCTATTTTATTACTTATTTTTGAGTTAAAAGACTATATTCTCCATTTATCATAAACAAGAAAATATTGTAACATTCATTATTTTTGCTAAACATAGCTTTATCCTAAATGGAATTTATGGAAATCGAAGTATTATACTTGTAATCGAATAGACAAATGATTATTCCAATAGATTACCAGACAATTCCTCAAAGTATTGGTGTCGATTCACGTCTATCCAATAATCGATTTATTCGTGTTAACGATAGAGATTTGCTCATATTGACGATATACAAAATAACATAATGGAAGGACTGTAAATGAACTCGTTATAAAGATTGTGGTTAAATAAATTAGATATCACAGATATTCATATCAACGTACTATTTTGAATTAGATTCAAAGGGTGTAAAATTGAATCTTTAGCAATAAAGGGTGAATATGGAATGTGTCCTCATACTCACCATACTGTGTTGGTAAAATGTTTGTATAATTCAAGTTAACGATAAAATAACAAGTTTGTCCTATAGAATCACAACAATCTCTGTATTCTAGAACATGTAGTGAAGTATTTTTCGAACGAATCCACTTTCTTATCACATAATGATTTGTTATTGTCTATTCTAGAATCCAAAGAGCGATATCTTGTAAGCACAACTTCAGTAAGGTATTCAAGAAGATAGATAGATAGATAGATATCAATGTCTATCTTCTATATACATATATCTATATATCTGAAAAGTAATAGTTTGATTGTTGTCTCCAACAAATAATCAGCCAGATATGTCTCACAGCTTGATATTGGACAACTACTCATTCCCATAGAGTCCATTCTTATGGATTTCAGCTTTATCATCAACAATACTGATATCGCTATTAGTGAGTAATTCTATTCATCCTAATGAGTTGGGAACCAAAGCATTTCACTTTCATCAACCAACTCAAACAGCAAGTATTATGTATACTATTGTTATTCATGCTCGTAATAGAACAACATTGTGAATCACTTTGTATCCCTATTGAAGTGTACAATTCGATACTTCCTTTAAATAGGAGATATTCTGCATTATTTGGCAGGTGGGGGATACTATATGGGTTAGAATAAGGGATAGTATTCTCTGGCAATATAACAATCTCTGATAGGTTCAGAGTGCATCAAAACGACAAAAACTGCACACAAACTATCGAAAAACCTAGAAACAGTGGAATATGAATATATCTCTATTTGTTCGTATAAAATATATTATGTATTCTACCTTATTTTGCTCAGTTCTTCAACGACACACCCACCTTTCTCACAAACTCTACTATTCGATTCTACTATACACATATCACATATTATTACTATAAATGATAACTCAAAAACTGCTTATTGCTAGCTTTTCCATTTTCATTCCTATCATCATCTTTTACATACCCTATTTCTTTCTATCCCATCTATATAAAATTCCAAATGAATAGAACGAAAAACAAAACACTTCCACTGGAAACAACACTCTTCGATCTATTCATTCCACAATATCCCATTTCCGCTCATCTCCTTCCACTTCACAGTAAAAACAACTCCCTCCCTATTCGAAATCTATTCTTCCACTCATACCCAATTTCAACACTATTTTCACAATTGCACAATTCCTGTGTATTTTTGAAATCATTTGTTTTACAATAAAAGCTATTAGCTTCGTCTTACTGGGTTTGAATGTATTCAAAATTTGGAATTGGACTTGTATGTCCTGTCTTTTGTTTTGTTTTCGGACTTGTATGTGTTTTTGTGTGTTGTGTTGTGGGAGTGTAAGTATTGTAGCTGGGATGGGTTCTGTCGTCAAGTTGGTGTGTTTGAAGAAGCTAGTGTAGTGTGCGCTATCGTTACTTTGACTAAACTGTGTGTGTGAGATATGCATCGTGAACGCATTCAATACCATAATGGCGGTGGACCCTGGTTCCATTTTTGCTGTGTGGAATGTGTTCCGAGTGAGGAATTTCTGTACTTCAAACTGTGTAACGTGGCGAACCCATTCATGCCATGTGTGACCGCGGATACATGGAGATAACTTGCAACGTGGGAGGTATCTGGGACAGGCACGATGTTCTTGCCTAAGATAGCTGTTCTGTTTCTCGTATTTTCATTTTCATATTGTGAGGTGGTAGAGTGTGGTAGAGAGAACGGATTTGCGATGAGTGAAAGGGCAAACAATGGGAGCAAGAGCTGTAGGTTGGTAGAAGCGGAGCGTGTGTGGAACTTGGGAGAATGGGACAAGAAGGCGGAGTATGCGAACTGCTGTGGGTACGGTCCTCGCCTCTGATTGATGGGAGCCGAGTGAACTGGAATGGGCAGTGGGAGCAGGCGAGTTCCAAGACGGTGCAGTTGTGCATTTGTGGGTCTGTGGAGCATGGGAAGGTGGAGGTGTGCGTGGTGCGGGCGTGTGGGAAGTGGTGGAATGGAAGAGAGGTGAGGTGCGTGGCGGTGGTGTGCCCCGCGGACGAAGCGGCGGGGTAGCCGGAAGGGCACTTGGGGCAAGTGTTGGATACGAAGTGCGATGTGGACTAGTGGGGCATGATCACGGATGGGTGCAACGCCTATCAGCAGTGGGAATCGATCGATCGATCGATAGGGGACGGGCTCCTGCCAGCCCATCCTGCCGATGCTGCGCTGCGCTGCGCTGCGTGGCGGGCGATGGGGCGAGGGACGTGGCGCTGTGGACGATGGGAGATGGGAAGCAATCCACGATGTACTGCACGAGCAATGTGGGCGTGGGCGAGGTGATCAACGACCCATTCGAGCCCATGAACATCCACATCGTGTTTGAATTGGCCGAGGCCACGTTCTCCTATCCCACCACCGCGATCTCCATCTCCGACTACACCATTGCCTTCGCCTTCGCCTTCGCCTTCGATGGCTCCTTCCCGCGGTTCTGCGAAGGCACGCACGCTCTACATCAATGCCAACAGGTTGGTGTCCCGAAACGGCCTCCCCTTCTCCGCGGAAACCCTCATCACGACCTTCTCGACCCGCGCCGGCGTTCGGTTGGCGTTCGGTTGTGGCCTGCTCGGATTGTGGAGAGCGCGATTGGTATGAGGGAAGTGGAGTAGGCGCAGCGCAGCGCAGCGTGTCTGTGCAGATGGAGGTTCCCTGGAGCAGTGGCATCTCCGATGAAGCCCCGATGGATGGCCTTGATGGGCAGCAATGTGCAGAACCAGTTCTTCGAGACGCGCTCCGTGTTGGTGGCGGGCGCCATTGTGAACAGCGTGATGGCCATCAGCTGGCGTGTCCGCAAGGGCGCCTCCTGGTCCGCCTTCGCGTCCTTCTCCGTCTACCGCCCCGTCGTGCTGCTGCCTGCCTCCCTGCCTCCCTGCCTCCGCGCCCGTCGTGCTGCTGCCGCCTTCGAAGCCACGCAGGTGCGCTGGGTCTGGTGGTGGTGCGAGCTCTTCGTGCAGGCCTTGGTTGGCTCCCACTCCCAGCTCTTCGCCGCCGACGCGCTCCTCCAAGAGGGCGACGTCCAGCAACCCGAACTCTCTTTAGCTCTCTCGCTCTCTCTCGATGCGTGCGTGGCCTACTGGGTGCGCGTGGCGCTGTGCTCCGCCGCGTGCTCCATCCTCTCCGAGGCCTCCTCTCCCATCACCCTCGCCGCGTATGTCGTCGCGCCCGGCGCGGTGCAGAACCTCGAGGTGGCCGCGCTCTCCTCGACCTCGCTGCGCGTGCAGTGGGCAGAGCCGGCGGAGCTGGACGGCGCCAGCATTCGGTACTACGTGGTGCGACGCTCGTGGATGGCGTCGATGGCCGTGATCCAGAGCGAGAGCGAGAGCGAGAGCGAGGTCGCCAGCACGAACTGCTTCCTGGACCTGCAGAGCGTGCAGAGCGTGCAGAGCGTGCAGAGCGTGCAGAGCGTGCAGAGCGTGCAGAGCGTGCAGAGCGTGCAGCACGCGCCCATCTATCTGAGCGTGGCCGCGTTCACCGGGTATCTCTCCCGCCACGAGAAGATCCCCGCGGTTCTGTATGCTGTGTGTGTGGAATCAGGCGGAGGGCATTGAGTGGGACTGTGCGATGGCGATTACCGGATCCTTCCATGATCTCTGCACCGCCACGTGCGAGCTTCGCGCTCCCGCCACTTCCTCCTTCCTCCTTCCTCCTTCCGCCGAACCGTCTGGTTCCCCGCGGGACGCGATGTGTGGGACGTGTTGGAGGGTGGGATCCCCGCGACTTCCTACACGCTGGAGTGCGTCCCGAGCGAAGTGGGCAGTGCCGAGTGGATGGGCAGGCAATTCGGAGTGTCCACGATGGCCACGTCGGAATTGGTTGGGTGTTGGTGGTGGACGGCGAGCCAACCTCCTCGCTCACCGGTTCGCTCTGGGTGTGGGTGTGGGTGTGGGTGTGAGTGAGCAGGAATCTGGTGGGCGATGGGGTGGGGTCCGTGGCTCCCTACGAAGGTGTGCAGAGTCGACCGGGCTCTCTGGATCTCTTCCTGTCCAACTGGGCGCAGAACGCCACCGTGGTCTCCGTCACCCAGCCCCTCCGCCTCCGCTTCCTCTTCGCCTACGACGTGACCGGCGCGCTCATCCGCGCCCACCTCGTCGATCACGCCTGGTGCGCCGTGGGTCGCGATGTTTCCACGTTTCCACGATCCAGACCGATTTGGCAGTTGCTGAGAGAAAGAAAAAGAGAGAAATGGTTGCGGTGTTTGGTTTGGAAGATGGATGGATGGATGGATGGATGGATGGAATTGTAGAGATGTGGAATGGTTGAAGCGTTGTAGGATTTGAATGAGAATCGAAAATGTGTTTAGGAAGGAAAGAAAGAAAATGTAGATTTAGAGTGTGTAGGGTGTTGGAATGATTTAGAAACATGAACAGAATAATCCAGAACGAGGAACCAAACGACTCTAGTTGATAATAATAATAGAGTGCTGTGAGTTGATAGTTGAAACAAAGAAAGAAAGAAAGAAAGAAAGTGTATTTAGAGTTAGTTGGTTGGTTTAGGATAAGGAAATGATAGAAAATGGAGTGAATGGTTAACGATGTGCGAAGATAGGTTCTTTGTGTGAAAATCACTGGATCAAAACCAATTTCCATTCGATTTGATTTACTAGTTTTACTAGTTTTAATTGCTTTCAAACCCAACCATTCCCAAGTCAAAATGATTTGGCTAGAATCATGGATGGATAGATTGGATTATCGAAATAATAATGATAATAATAATGATAATATAGACTATTTAGACAAAGTGGAGTGAGCAACCAAATCCTTGCTTCATTACACGATTTCACTATGATATCATAAATATACAACCTATACAGACATAGTAGACAACAAAATGGACTTTTCCATTCTGAGTGTTTCCAAACAATCCTGATATTATAAATATCTATACCTCCGAACTATTTCAACCACAAAAATGTGAGCAAAATGATGCGAAACACAAGTGAGTACTTCACTTGGAAATCTTGGATCCAATGTGTATATGGTAGCACTCTATCATAATTTTTAAATATGAAGAATACTTAGGTGTAAGGAAACAAACTGATCTCTCTGTTTTCTTCATAAATTCTTTATATTTGGCTACAAATTACGGATTCAAAGAGTAGAGGCTAAGGATATGTGATTCCAAATAGGTAGAATGGAAGAACTTAAGGGAAGCGAATTTCTCCTGGACGGTTACATAACGCTTGGTGAAGCAAAGGAAATCACTATTGGCGGCTGCAAGTATAGCATCCAATGTTATCAAGGCGATTACGAGGATGAATACACGTTGACGAGAGCTGGGAAGGTTTGCCTATTCCAAAATGGCATACTGAAGATGTGTTACGAGGTGGATGCGAACGGGAGCGAAATCGGTGACTTCACGCGATTTGAAAATGGATGTGTCGCTTTTGTCCAATCTTTCGACGAAATCTGGGACAGAAAGAATTTTCATCGTATAATAAACCACGTCCGAGGCGAGCGAATGGAAATCTATTCGCATGCGAGTGACCACCTGATATATCACGGTGAATTTAATGAGAAGCGAGAACGAGAAGGATGGGGCATCCAATATGACGAAGAAACGGGTGCCATGCTGCTTGAGGGGATGTGAAAGGGGAACAAACTGGTGGAGATCATTCGCAAGATCGAAGGAACCATCATGATTGAGTTCAAGCGAAACGGGAATAACACAACCGCTTCGAATCGAATTCCCCTGTATGTGGGTGAATTCGTTTATGATGAATCGAAAGAATCGTTTCTTCGAAATGGTC